CCAAAATGGACATCTGAGATAGATACACACTTCTCAGATGAAATACAAATGGCAAATAAGTATATGAAAAAATGTTCAACATCATTGATGATTTGAGAAATGCGCACTGAAACACTGAGATTCCATCTCTCCCCAGAAACAATGGCTGTCATTAAAAAATCAGCCAATAACAAATGCTGGTGAGGTGGTGGGGAGATAGAAACTTGGTGTGTACAAGAAACTTGGTGGTACAAACACTGTGGAAAAACAGTGTGGAGATTACTCAAGAAGCACTAGAGGTCCCATTTGACCCAGCTATTCCCCTTCTGGGTATTTTTACAGAAGAACTGAGAACATGATACCACAGAGATGCATATGCACCCATGTATATAGCAGTGTAATTTGTCATAGCTACATCTTGGAAACAACTTAAATGCCCATCAACTAAGGAATCGATAAAAAAAGATGTGATATTTTTATAGAGTGGCATATTACCCCGCTATAAAGAAAGGTATACTTGAGGCTTTTATAGGTAAATGGATGCAACTAGAGACCATAATCATAAGTGAAATAAATCAGACCCACCTGCATAAACATTGCATTGTCTCTCTAGCATAAGAAATGGAGAGAGTAAATAAAATCCAAAAGATATAATAGATATTATGAAAGGGAAAGAAACTGCTAAAAAAAAAAGAATAACTGGGATGAGGGTAAGGAGAAAAGAAAGAAGGGAAAAAACCTATTACACAAGATGGCTAAGATAATTATACTACTAATTTCTATTGGTTTATTTTATTTATTTATTTATGTGTGTGTGTGTGGGGCCAGCTCAGCCCACCAGGGGGCGGGGCTGGCTGGCATGTGGTGCTGGGGGATTGAACCGTGGTCCCTGTGCTTTGCTAAGCTTGTTCTAAGTAGGTTCTTTAGACCACTGAGCCATCTCACCAGCCCCTCTATTGGTTTATTGAAAGGAACAGTTATGGATTAATTTTTTTAAAAAAATTTTGACCAGTTTTGCATGCTTATATCTAGTAATCTGAACAACTACTTTGAAGATAACAATATACAGTATAACAACCATTCTTGATTTCTTATCTTATTTTGAAATTTTGTATTGTTTTTAATGTTTTTATTCCATTTAAAATTTAAAGAAAAAAGGGCTGGGTATATAGCTCAGCAGTGTAAGTGCCTGCCTTGCAGCATAAGGTTTCAAGTTTGATCCCTGGTACCACAAAAAATAAATAAATGACGTTTGAAAAAGAAATAAAACATACAAATGGTTAAGGCCAATTTGTTTTAATTATGGAAGATGCAAATTTTATTTAAATAGTTATAACGGTACGTGAATGAGGTACTATGATTTGTATTCTATATTTGAAAGTAGTAAACAAAACTAATAGGCCCTTCAGGTAAGTAGGTTTAGTCTTACATACTCATCAAAAAGACTCTACTAAGCTAAGCTGATACTAAAATACTGGAAAGTGCAAGTTTCCTTTGCTGGACCTACCTCTGGAGGCAGTTTCATGTATCACACATATTCTGTTTGCCTCCTTTCAAGAAAATAATGATATATTTTTGGTCTCAGTGTGTGTTATGCCTCCTTGACTAACTAACCAAATAACGCAGGAAATGACTAGATTACGGCAAGGAGAAGTTCGCCATTGTTGAATAAAGATCATAATGAACAGTCTTTAAATATGCCTTCAAGATTTGAAATTTTTCTATTTTCTTAAAGGGTTCTTAAGGAGGTAATACTCAAGCCCAGTTAAACAAAGAGTAGGTGTTAACCAGGCAAAAAAAGTTTATGGCATGTACAAAGGCATCTTAGGGCAGGAGACAGCCCTAGGGAAGAAGTGGCACAACATATACACTTTGATGTCACTGATGTCACTGAAACAAAATTTAGGATGGAGCTTGGTGGTGGGAGCGTGGAGAGGTATTTAGGAGCCATGCAAAGGTCCCTGTATGAAGGAGCTTGCCCCTAATATTTTAGGGAGTGGGCACAGCACCAGTGAGTGTAAACTTTGCACTTTACATTTTAAATGGATCTCCTTTGCTTTGCTCCCATTTATTGCCTTCATTCAATCTCTACAACATAACAAATTAGCATACTTCTGCAAGAATGCCTTTCCTTTCCAGTCATTAGCAGACTTGGGCTCCTTAGGTTATAGGCTTTTGGGGCATAAATGTTTATCTGTATTTTCTCAGGTATATTATTGCTTTTAAATAGCCATAAACTAGCTTGGGAAAGAAAATCTGACATTTTCACTGTTTTACTTTTCAAGGTGCTACCACATGATAGCAAAGTACATGAACTTTTGGCAACAAGTGGTGGACTTAGAAAAGTTCAAGAGATCCGAGCAGAGCCTGTTTTTCTCTTTGAAGAGTACATCAGCAGAATTAACAGCTGTCACACACACCAGTAAGGTAAAGAAAATGGAATTTCAGAAGTTCAATAGTGGGGTCAGTATAATAAGCACTTGCCTTGGCAAGCACAAGGCTCTGACTTCAATTCTTGGTTCCACAAAAAAAAAAAAAAAAAAAAAAAAGTTCAATAGTGTAATGTAACTTTTGGGTTTGCAGATCTAGATTCTGTATACACTGCATTTTAATATAAACTATGAAATACTGAATTCCGTGAGGCCAGTGTGCAGCTTTACTTCTCCCTTCCTTTTATTTCCTCCATGCAAATTAAATTAATTATGTTCTGTTTAACACACATTTTCAAATCAATCTTGAATATTTGTCATTTAAAATATTTTTGTACCAACATATACTTTACTAAAGAATACCAAAAATATAACATTCAAATTAACAAATCTTAATTTAGAAGAGTCTGATACACTATACATTCTAGTTTTTCATAGTTCCTGCGTAACACTTTTCTTAAGTTCATATTCACATTAATGGAATTATTATAATTAGAAAACAGATGTTGAATAATGGAAGTTATTGAAATATAAAAATTTATGTAATTTTTAATGATATACAGGTAACCATAGAATAATATAACAGGAAGCTTTTTTATTTTTTGGAGATAAGCACTTGCATTTCAGACACTGTCCTTGAACTCACTATGTAACCCAGGCTGGCCTCAAACTCACAGTGATCCCCGTGTCTTAGCCTCCTGAGTGCTGGGATTATAGGCATGTGCCCCTATTCCTGGCAACATGACAATGTTCTTAAGATTTTTTTTTTTTTTTTTTTTGCTGTTCTACCACTGAATTATACCCCAGCACAGAGTAGTAATTTCTGTTTTTATTTGTTTATTTTTGCAGTACCAGGGATTGAACTCAGGAACCTGCGCTTGCCAGGCAAGCACTTATTCTATTGAGCTATCTCCCCTTCAGTTTTTAAAATGAAGTCATTTTGCAGAACATTAATCCTCAACCAACCCTAAGACTTAGTCCTTGTAAGCCTAGAGCACTATTCTTTTACACACCCCCCAAAACAAAGTTACCAAGAGAAAGTTAAGAACACTTAAACTATTGAGTCTTAAAAATGCTTACCAGGCATGCAGAATAAAAGGTTTATTTACTTGTATTTTTCTCTTCTCCACTAATTGTTAAAATTTATATATTAATTATAGCTTTGTTTATACTTATTTAATATCAGAGGTTTTTAATACATAGGGTTTTAAAAGAACAGACATTTTAAAAGCACAAAACTAATTTTAAGAATTAAAATAGTTTTCAGCCGGGCGTGGTAGCATATGTCTGTAACCCCAGCACTTGGGAGGCTGAGACAGGTGGATTGCTGCAAGTTTGAAGCCAATCAGGACTATAAAGAGAGTTCAAAGCCAGTCTGATCTGCACGTAAAACCCTGTATCAAAAACGCTGAACGAAAAAAATTCCATTCACATATATTCAGCAGGTAAATTTTTTTCTAGTTAGCAAATTTTAAGTACTTGGGAGGTTTATGCAATACTTTGACCCAAAGTTTCACTAAGCCAGTTTTGAAAATATTGATATAAATACTGATACATCATAACATAAATATTATATATAAAATATATATATAAATGTCTGTATAACATAAGATATGTAAAACTGAAAACAATGTGAAACTGCTAAGTAAAAGGATTATGAAAATCTTTTATCAGTAAAATCAAATGTTGTGGGCCGGCCAAATAGCTCAGCAGATTAAAGCACCTGCAAGCAGGTGCGGGGGCTGCGGGCTCGATCTCTGGGCCTACTGTGCTGCCCTGCCGCTGGGGTGCACTGAGAGGGCAATTGAGACTGGGCGTGGTGGTGCGAGCCTATAATCCCAGCTGTTGGGAGGCTGTAAACAGGCGGATCACTACGAGTCCAGTCTATTCAGTGAGACCCGAACACCCTGTAGACCCTTCCCTAAAATACAAAAAAAGAAAGAAAGAAAGAAAAAGAAAAGAAAATGGGGGTGGGGTCAAATGGAGAAAGCTAAAGGGCCTCAAAATGGAACAACACTATAGACTCAAAATGATAAGGTATATTGTTGGTTTTTTCTTTTAATATATTACATTCTTGAGTAAACGTTTTCTTTTCACTTTTTTCAACATATTTTAACTGCAGCAGGGAAAATTAAAAACTTCGACATAATTTAATACAGTCCTTTGTAAAATACCATTTAAAAGTTTTAACTACTTTTTTTTTTTTTTTTGCGGAACCAGGGATTGAACTCAGGGCCTTACGCTTGCCAGGCAAGCACTTACTCTACTGAGCTATCCCCAGCCCCTAAAAATTTTAGCTACTTATACTCTGTGATTTGGTATTTCATTTAAAAAACTGATTTATACTTATGAAGAATTTTGGTTAGCTGATTTTTAAAAAAGTGGTAGTTTCTTTTATTTTTTAAATTTTTATTTTATTTCATTTAAAATTTTTTTCCCATAATTTCATTGAGAAACAAATAGCAATGAGACAGTTTCAAACCAAATTGGTAGGTCAGTTTCAATAATTAACACATTGCATATATTCTTCCTAGTGGTTATTTGCTGTACAAGATGCGAACATGATATCCTATTTACAAACACTATTAGAACAAATCCCTCTATTCATTAAGAGACTGTATCTATATACCTATCCTAACCATTTTGAATGCACAGATACAAAATGGACATTCATCTGTATCCCCTTTTTTGTTTAGTTCCGTTATTTGAATATTATAGGTGTGTTAACTC